TTTTGACCTCACCCTCTCACCGTCCCCCCCTACTCACAAGGCAGGCAATACGCTTGACCTCATCTTTACTAGATGCTGTTCTTCTACTAATCTCACTGCAACTCCCCTCCAAGTCTCCGACCACTACTTTATATCCTTTTCTCTCTCGCTCTCCTCCAACACTACTCACTCTGCCCCTACACAGATGGTAATGCACCGTCACAACCTTCGCTCTCTCTCTCCCGCTACTCTCTCCTCTTCCGTCCTATCATCTCTTCCCTCTGCTCAATCCTTCTCCCTCCAATCTCCTGATTCTGCCTCCTCAACCCTCCTCTCCTCCCTTTCTGCATCCTTTGACTCTCTATGTCCCCTATCCTCCTGGCCGGCTCGGTCCTCCCCTCCTGCTCCGTGGCTTGACGACTCATTGCGAGCTCACAGAACAGGGCTCTGGGCAGCCGAGTGGAAATGGAGGAAAACTAGACTCTCTGCGGACCTGGCATCTTTTCACTCCCTCCTCTCTACATTTTCTTCATCTGTTTCTGCTGCTAAGGCCACTTTCTACCACTCTAAATTCCAAGCTTCTGCCTCTAACCCTAGGAAGCTCTTTGCCACCTTCTCCTCCCTGCTGAATCCTCCTCCCTCTCTGTGGATGACTTCGTCAACCATTTTGAAAAGAAGGTTGACGACATCCGATCCTCGTTTGTTAAGTCAAATGACACTGCTGGTCCTGCTCACACTGCCCTACCCTATGCTTTGACATCTTTCTCCCCTCTCTCTCCAGATGAAATCTTGCGACTTGTGACGGCCGGCCGCCCAACAACCTGTCCGCTTGACCCAATCCCCTCCTCTCTTCTCCAGACCATTTCCGGAGACCTTCTCCCTTACCTCACCTCGCTCATCAACTCATCCTTGACCGCTGGCTATGTCCCTTCCGCCTTCAAGAGAGCGAGAGTTGCACCCCTTCTCAAAAAACCTACACTCGATCCCTCTGATGTCAACAACTACAGACCAGTATCTGTAGTCACTTGGCTCTGTCATATCCTCACATGGCCTCTCCTATCATTGCTACGCAGACGACACACAACTAATCTTCTCCTTTCCTCCTTCTGATAACCAGGTGGCGAATCGCATCTCTGCATGTCTGGCAGACTTATCAGTGTGGATGACGGATCACCACCTCAAGCTGAACCTCGGCAAGACGGAGCTGCTCTTCCTCCCGGGGAAGGACTGCCCGTTCCATGATCTCGCCATCACGGTTGACAACTCCGTTGTGTTCCTCCTCCCAGAGTGCAAAAAGCCTTGGCGTGACCCTGGACAACACCCTGTCGTTCTCCACTAACATCAAGGCGGTGACTCGATCCTGTAGGTTCATGCTCTACAACATTCAGAGAGTACGACCCTGCCTTACACAGGAAGCGGCACAGGTCCTAATCCAGGCACTTGTCATCTCCCGTCTGGATTACTGCAACTCGCTGTTGGCTGGGCTCCCTGCCTGTGCCATTAAACCCCTACAACTCATCCAGAATACCACAGCCCGTCTGGTGTTCAACCTTCCCAAGTTCTCTCACATCACCCCGCTCCTCCGCACACTCCACTGGCTTCCAGTTGAAGCTCGCATCTGCTACAAGACCATGGTGCTTGCCTACGGAGCTGTGAGGGGAACGGCACCTCTGTACCTTCAGGCTCTGATCAGTCCCTACACCCAAACGAGGGCATTGCGTTCATCCACCTCTGGCCTGCTGGCCCCCCTACCTCTGCGGAAGCACAGTTCCCGCTCAGCCCAGTCAAAACTGTTCGCTGCTCTGGCACCCCAATGGTGGAACAAGCCCCCTCACGACGATGGCCAAAGAATTCAATTTTGTCTCATCAGACCACAGAATATTTTGCCCTTATGATCGGAGTCTTTCACCTGCCTTTTTGCAAACCCCAGGCGTGCTGTCATGTGCCTTTTTCTCAGGAGTGGCTTCCATCTGGCCACTCTCCCTTAAAGCCCAGATTGGTGAAGTGCTGTAGAGACTGTTGTCCTTCTGGCAGGTTCTCCCATCTCAGCCAAGGAACTCTGTAGTTCTGTCAGAGTGGCCATTGGGTTCTTGGTCACCTCTCTGACCAAGGTCCTTCTTGCCCGGTTCCTCAGTTTGGTCGGAAGGCCAGCTCTAGGAAGAGTCTGCGTAGTTCCATTTTTTTACGATTTCCCAATGATGGAGACCACTGTGCTCTTGGAAACTTTCAACACCCTAGACATTGTTTTATACCCTTCCCCAGATATATGCCTCATCACAATTCTATCTCTGAGATTTACGGACAGTTCCTTGGACTTCATGGTATAGTTTCTGCTCTGACATGACCTGTCAACTGTGGGACCTTGTATAGACAGGTGGGTTTCTTTCTAAATCATGTCCAAACAATTGAATTGGCCACAGGTGGACTCCAATCAAGTTGTAGCAACATCTCAAGGATGATCAAAGGAAATTGGATGTGCCTGATCTCAATTTGTCATTGCAAAGTGTGATAGCAAAGGGGTGTGAATACTTACAGTGCCAGTCAAGTTTGGACACACCTACTCATTCAAGGGTTTTTATTTATTTTTACTATTTTCTACATTGTAGAATAATAGTGAAGACATCAAAACTATGAAATAACACATATGGAATCATTTAGTAACCAAAAAAGTGTTAAACAAATCAAAATATATTTTATATTTGAGATTCTTCAAATAGACACCCTTTGCATTGATGACAGCTTTGCACACTCTTGGCATTCTCTCAACCAGCTTCATGCGGTAGTCACCTGGAATGCATTTCAATTAACAGGTGTGCCTTCTTAAAAGTTAATTTGTGGAATTTCTTCCTTCTTAATGCGTTTGAGCCAATTAGTTGTGTTGGGACAAGGTAGGGGGGTGGTATACAGAAGATAGCCCTATTTGGTAAAAGACCAAGTCCATATTATGGCAAGAACAGCTCAAATAAGCAAAGAGAAACAACTGTCCATCATTACTTTAAGACATGAAGGTCAGTCAACACCGAAAATGTCAAGAACTTTGAAAGTTTCTTCATGTGCAGTCGCAAAAACCATCAAGTGCTATGATGAAACTGGCTCTCATGAGGACCGCCACAGGAATGGAAGACCCAGAGTTACCTCTGCTGCAGAGTATACGTTCATTAGAGTTACCAGCCTCAGAAATTGCAGCCCAAATAAATGCTTCACAGAGTTCAAGTCACAGACACATCTCAACATCAACTGTTCAGAGGGGACTGTGTGAATCAGGCCTTCATGGTTGAATTGCTGCAAAGAAACCACTACTAAAGGACACCAATAATAAGAAGAGACCTGCTTGGGCCAAGAAACATGAGCAATGGACATTAGACCGGTGGAAATGTGTCCTTTGGTCTTGAGTCCAAATGTGAGATTTCTGGTTCAAACTGCCGTGTCTTTGTGAGACGCGGTGTTCACACCGTGAAGCATGGAGGAGGTGTTATGGTGTGGGGGTGCTTTGCTGGTGACACTGTCTGTGATTTATTTAGAATTCAAGGCACACTTAACCAGCATGGCTACCACAGCATTCTGCAGCGATACGCCATCCCATCTGGTTTGGGCTTAGTGGGACTATCATTTGTTTTTCAACAGGACAATGACCCAACACACCTCCAGGCTGTGTAAGGGCTATTTTACCAAGAAGGAGAGTGATGGAGTGCTGCATCAGATGACCTGGCCTCCACAATCACCCGACCTCAACCCAATTGTGATGGTTTGGGATGAGTCGGACGGCAGAGTGAAGGAAAAGCAGCCAACAAGTGCTCAGCATATGTGGGAACTCCTTCAAGACTGTTGGAAAAGCATTCCAGGTGAAGCTGGTTGAGAGAATGCCAAGAGTGTGCAAAGCTGTCATCAAGGCAAATGGTGGCTACTTTGAAGAATCTCATATATCTAGATTTGTTTAACACTGTTATGGTACTACATGATTCCATATGTGTTATTTCATAGTTTTGATGTCTTCACTATTATTCTACAATGTAGAACTCTTGAATGAGTAGGTGTCCAACCTTCTGACTGGTACTGTATATAAGTTAGATATTTCTGGATCTCATTTTCAATACAAACATTTGCCAAAATGTCTAAAAACATGATTTCACTTTGTCATTATGGGATATTGTTTGTAGATGGGTGAGGATGAAAAATCTATTTACTCCATTTTGAATTCAGGCTGTATGACTAAATGTGGAGTAGGTCAAGGGGTATGAATACTTTCTGAAGGCGCTGTAAATATACATTGAAACATTAAGACTATCAGTGAGGAATGGTTAATATTGCACATTGAACTTGCTATTAAAGAGAGGTCTATGCAGAGACAGAGACAATGTCAGCAGGCCTAAACAAAACAGACATTTCAGGCAAATTTCAACCAGGTCAAATCCTTGAGGTCATGAGGGGAGTTCAGAGTAATGCTAATGTGAAGACCGTATTTACTAAGGGCTCTATTCAATCCGCATCACAAAAGTTCAGCTTTACAGCGTGATTGACATTTAAAGGCAACGTCCCTGCTCTAGCGGAGACTAAACGCTGCATGTCGGCTCAATCGGAAATGACCTTTACACTTCTAGCGTGGAATCTGTAGTACTTCTGCTTGAATAGAGCCCTTATTCTATGGTGCACAGGAATCAAGATGTGATTGAGGGTGTTTTCACTAACTAAGATAAACATCCCCTAACTTCATGCAGGTGTTCTGTGAGTATGGTGTATTTAGTTCATTCACGCCCAGGGGGGCAGCCTCGGCATTGAAAAGTGATAACCATTGTAACTCAGCCAGCCACTATGTAACCATCCCAATTCAACAGCCCGTACGGCTATCACAACATTTCACTTGACCTTTTCTTTTAAAAGGACATCATTTTCCATTCCCACTGTACCTTTGTAGGAATCATAATGACTAAACAAACAAGTTGTCATGGGTACAGCAGAACCAGTTCCTCCACATTTCAACCATTCATCCAGACTCTTCCGGTTGACAAGGAAACAATTTACTTTGCTAAAATAGTTTTAATTACAGATAAAAAGGTGGACAAATAAAGCACACACGATGAAGACTATTCCATTTAAAATACAATTTTACAAGTTGACCATTTTACCACCAAGAAGTACGCTACACAAGTCTTAAAAGACTAGGTAGTGAAGTGCTCTACAGAAGACTATGACAAACAGGGAGCCCATAAGGGTCGGAGAAGGACACAGGTGTTGAAGAAATTGTTCAAAGTATATTGAGGCACTTGAGACCGGTTTTTAGAAGGCAGCAGAAAACATGTCAGTGTTTTGACAAGGCAACAGGAAATGGTTCAAAGTAATGTTGAGGGCCTGGTGTGTCGCTGAGACAATGGATGGTCACGTCTGGTTCAGCACTCTCCTTTACTCCTGATGTGAACGTCACTCTTCTGCTCCCTGGGAACACACACGGAGCGGAATTAAAAGACACGCACAAACACAGAACGAGACAGAGGCACAGACAGACAAGCACAGAGCAAGACAAGTTGTTGAAAGCTTTAGTTGGTTACTTACATGTTTTCAAAGCACAGCATGCATTCGTTAGAGTAGCTGGTGCCATCGGTTCCACACACTGGCTCATAGTTCCGGGGGCACATGGGCATGCTGTACTGGGAACAGTCAGCCTGTTGGACAAAAACCAGGTTATGTAATAAATAAATAAGAGGTGTTGGTAATATAGTGTACTAGTATGACACCATATGAAGAGAACATGGATAACAGGGAACAAGCCATACGTTTTCCACCCCTTCCACAGTGCACCTGGGGTGTATTCATTTCTCAGATTCTATTGCAAAACGTTTCACTCAAGCAAACAAATTGAAGCAAACGCAACACAAACAGGGAATTTGCCCAATAGAAATTCTCATTGGTTGAAAAACGTTTTACATTTAGAGTACACTGTTCGTTGCAAAACGTTTTGCAACAGAATCGGACTAATGAATACACCCCTGACTGTCATGTCAACTAGTTGTTGACCAGGAAGTGACTGTATACATACAGGTGTACTTGGTGAACAATTGAATTTTGTACAGAGTAAGACCCATACCAGTGTTCTACATTACTAACTACTGTTAATCCAGCACATAGGACAAAGTGTTTTATGAATGCGCATAGCCTTTCACTCCAAAAAAAGAAACGGTTTAGCCTGCTTACCTCTATGCTGCCGTCAGGGAGACTCGCTCCTCGTGCCAAAACTAAAATGGAGAAAGATGTCAAGCCTTAGACTAATTATGATTTAACATCAGATTTGATTTCCAGCCGTTCTAATCTAAACGACAGATAGCGCATCTTTTCTCTAGTCGTAGATTTGCGTGTGCGCCAACAGAGGCAGTCCGGGGGTAGTATCGACTGTTTGTCTAAACTGCTCTTAGAAGTTAATGTTATTTAATAAAACTATTTGACTGCCACTTGAAACTAATTAAGTAAAATTGAACAACACTCACCGGCAACACAGAGGAGTGCGAGAGTCAGTCGTGTAAAGTTCCACATTCTCTCCGTAGTGAAGGGGTGTAGGCAGATGACATTAGTGTGCACCGGAGCCGTATTTATACCGTGTAGGTCTCCACCCCCTATTTATTACCGTGTAGGACTCCACCCCCTATTATACGTGTAGGACTCCACCCCCTATTTATACCGTGTAGGACTCCACCCCCTATTTATACCGTGTAGGTCTCCACCCCCTATTTATACCGTGTAGGTCTCCACCCCCTATTTATACCGTGTAGGTCTCCACCCCCTATTTATACCGTGTAGGACTCCACCCCCTATTTATACCGTGTAGGACTCCACCCCCTATTTATACCGTGTAGGACTCCACCACCTATTTATACCGTGTAGGACTCCACCACCTGTTTATACCGTGTGGGTCTCCCCCAAGCTTCTACCCCCAAGCCATAAGACTCCTGAACAGCTAATCATGGCTACCCGGACTATTTGCCACCCCACCCCCTTTTTTACGCTGCTGCTACTCTCTGTTTATTATCTATGCATAGTCACTTTACCTCTACTCACATGTACATATTACATCAATTACGTCGACAAACCTGCGCCCCCGCACATTGACTCTGTACCGGTACCCCCTGTATATAGCCTCCCTACTGTTATTTCCCATTGACTCTGTACCGGTACCCCCTGTATATAGCCTCCCTACTGTTATTTCCCATTGACTCTGTACCGGTGATAGATTAATTATTAATGACTAATTATTACACCCTGAAACTGTGTATAATGTGTTAGAAATGTGTGAGTGTAGGACCAGTAAGCTACCATTGAGCTACTATTTAGCAATGTGAGTAAGAGTTAGACCAGACAACAATGGAGAACTGTCTAAACCAAGATAAAGGGGCCTCCCAATTTAGGGAGGATGCGATATCTGCACCTGGCCGAGCAAGGAGTGGGAAAAGATAAGAACAGTGATGGTCAGGAGAGCAGAGGAAAACATGAGCTGAGCCGAGGTGTGTGTGTGTTTACAAGATGTGTATAGTGGAAAAATTGGCTGAGCAGACAGCGGCAACTAGCTTAATGGCATGGCAGAATAGAATAGCTTTAGATATGCTTTTGGCTGAGCGGGGCGGAGTTTGTGTTCTGTTTGGATCTATGTGCTGTACTTTCATCCCCAACAATACAGCACCGGACGGGTCCGTGACCAAAGCGCTTCAGGGACTCACCACGCTGGCGAACGAACTGGCTGAGAACTCTGGTATTGATAGCTCCCTAAACGGTTGGTTTGATAACATATTTGGTAAATGGAAAACTATTGTTGTAACTATTCTGGGTGCAGCTATAGCTTCTATGGGTATGCTTGTTCTTTGTGGATGTTGTCTTATTCCCTGTGTCCGAGGGTTGGTGAGCAAGGCGATGGAGGAGGCAGTTTCCCAACAGATGGTGAGATACGGCCCAATCCCGGACTCCGACCTAAGGAATGAAGGATATGACCTACCAGGCTTGGTGGAGGATGACGACGATTCAGATAGTTTGAGACTGGATGAAACTTTTCTTAGTTCTAATGTGTGAAGGTTGCAGTGAAAATCTAACGAAGAGCTGTGATTGGATGTTAACCTAGAACTACAAATCTCTAGTTTAAAAGTTATTGTAATGACTTTTGTGTATTAAAGTCTCGTTTTTAAGTATGATGTACTAATTAATCAATATTGCAGGATGTGATGAAGCAAATGTTCTTCACTATAGGCTTAGACTGTTGTTTCCAGATAGTGGGTAAACAGGTTAGGTACCATTGCTAAATAGTAACATTACGCTTTTAATCATGGGGTAACCCTGATGAACCTGTATTGAATGAGACACTTTTTAATGTTTTTATATGCAAACCAACTTATATACTTCAATGAGTGTGATTTATTTCTATAACAACATATATTTTGTATGTGCGTAATATTTAGTCAAAGGGTGGATTGATAGATTAATTATTAATGACTAATTATTACACCCTGAAACTGTGTATAATGTGTTAGAAATGTGTGAGTGTAGGACCAGTAAGCTACCATTGAGCTACTATTTAGCAATGTGAGTAAGAGTTAGACCAGACAACAATGGAGAACTGTCTAAACCAAGATAAAGGGGCCTCCCAATTTAGGGAGGATGCGATATCTGCACCTGGCCGAGCAAGGAGTGGGAAAAGATAAGAACAGTGATGGTCAGGAGAGCAGAGGAAAACATGAGCTGAGCCGAGGTGTGTGTGTGTTTACAAGATGTGTATAGTGGGAAAAATACAGGCCGCCTAAGATTTTTAGTATGACTTATGTGTATAAAAGGATTGTACCACCATTTTGTTTCAGAATTCTCAATGAATAAATATCTCTGACTATGCAGACCGGGACTCTGGCCGTTACTTAAATCCCAAAAGACGTACAACCTTTTGGGAGACGCACAGAGACACTAAAATAGTTTGTTAAATAATTCACATAACAACCGGTACCCCCCTGTATATAGCCTCGCTACTGTTATTTCGCATTGACTCTGTACCGGTACCCCCTGTATATAGCCTCCCTACTGTTATTTCACATTGACTCTGTACCGGTACCCCCTGTATACAGCCTCCCTACTGTTATTTCCCATTTTATTCTGTACCGGTACCCCCCTGTATATAGCCTCTCTACTGTTGATTTTCCACATTGATTATGTACAGTACCACCATACCCACCCCCCCATACAACCGTCACCACCTAGTACCACCAAACCACCTACCCCCTGTATATAGCCTCCCTACTGTTATTTCATTCATCATTGACTCTGTCCGGTACCACAGTAAAATAAACCACCAACCCCCTGGTATATAGCCCTCCCTACTATATTTTTCCTGCCCGCTCCGCTTCCTTCCGCTCCTTTATTATTTTGTTATTTTTATTTTTGTACTGATCCATTTTTTACTTAACTATTCTTCTTCTAAACTGAATTGTTGGTTAAGGGCTTTTTAAGTAAGCATTTCACTGTAATATCTACACCTGTTTATTCGCGCATGTTGGAAATAACATTTGATTTGATGTTGGCCATGTTTTTCTGTATTCTAGTGTTTGTATGATGTTGGCCATGTGTTGTGTCTTCTAAGTGTTTGTATGATGTTGGCCATGGTGTTCTGTATTCTAGTGTTGTATATTTGGCCATGTGTTCTGTATTCTAAGTGTTTGTATGATGTTGGCCATGTGTTCTGTATTCTAAGTGTTTGTATGATGTTGGCCATGTGTTCTGTATTCTAAGTGTTTGTATGATGTTGGCCATGTGTTCTGTATTCTAAGTGTTTGTATGATGTTGGCCATGTGTTCTGTATTCTAAGTTTTTTTATTATGTTGTTCATGTGTTCTGTATTCTAAGTGTTTTCTCCTGCTATTTTGTTTGCGATGTTTGATTATGTAAATTGTGCATTTATTCAGTTTTTGAACATGTCAGGTGTTGCTGTAGGTAGGTGTGGTGTGGAATCAGGCGCAGGACGCAGAAATTAAGTCCAACGAAGACTTTAGTAGTTCACACAAAATATAGTCCAAAAAACAGCCCGGAGGCGAGAAAAGCGCACACAGGCGTAAACACACGGGCGCACTAAACATGTGCGTAATTCTCTCCTTAACAAATAAGGAGGTAAGCTACAACTAGCGCACCGAAACGGGTAACGCAACAACACGACAACGGGAACAATTACACACAACACCTAAACTCACAACAAGGAACTAAATAGGGTGCTTAATGAGACATAACACAAAACAGGTGTGACAAACAGACAAAACCAATCAAACAAGAAACATAGAACGGTGGCAGCTAGTACTCCGGAGACGACGACCGCCGAAACCTGCCCGAACAAGGAGGAGGGGCCGCCTCGGCCGAAACCGTGACAGTACCCCCCCCCCCCTTGACGCCACCCCCCGGCCTCGGGGACGACCAGGAGGACGCGGAGCAGGGCGCGTAGGATGACCACGATGGAATTCGGTCAGCAGGGACGGGTCCAGAATGTCCCTCCTCGGCACCCAGCACCGCTCCTCCGGACCGTACCCCTCCCACTCCACGAGATATTGGAGACCCCCCATCCGGCGTCTCGAATCTAGGATGGTCCGAACAGTGTACGCCGGAGCCCCCTCGATGTCCAACGGGGGCGGAGGAGTCTCTTCTATCTCAAAGTCCTGGAGTGGATCAGCTACCACCGGCCTGAGGAGAGACACATGGAACGAGGGGTTAATATTCTTGTAATCAATGGGCAGTTGTAACCTGTAACACACCTCGTTCAATCTCCTCAGGACTTTAAAAAGGCCCCACAAACCGCCGACCCAGCTTCCGGCAGGGCAGGCGGAGGGGCAGGTTTCTGGTTGAGAGCCAGACTCGATCTCCAGGTGCGTACACTGGCCCCTCACTGCGGTGTAGGTCGGCGCTCGTCTTCTGTCGACGGATGGCTCGCTGCAGATGGACGTGTGCAGCGTTCCACGTCTCCTCCGAGCGCCGCACCCACTCATCCACAGCAGGGGCCTCTATCTGGCTCTCATGCCAAGGTGCCAGAACCGGCTGGTACCCTAACACACACTGGAAAGGGGTTAGTCTAGTGGAGGAGTGGCGGAGAGAGTTCTGTGCCATCTCGGCCCAGGGCACATATCTCGCCCACTCCTCCGGCCGGCCCTGACAATATGACCTCAGAAACCTACCCACATCCTGGTTGACTCGTTCGACCTGCCCATTACTCTCCGGGTGGTAACCCGAGGTAAGGCTCACAGAGACCCCCAACCGTTCCATAAAGGCTCTCCAGACTCTGGAGGTAAACTGGGGGCCTCGATCAGACACTATATCCTCGGGTACCCCGTAATGCCGGAAGACGTGAGTAAATAGAGCCTCAGCGGTCTGTAGGGCAGTAGGAAGACCCGGCATGGGAAGGAGACGACAGGCCTTCGAGAACCGATCCACAACGACCAGGATGGTGGTATTCCCTTGTGAGGAGGGAAGGTCGGTAACAAAATCCACCGAGAGGTGAGACCAGGGTCGTTGTGGAACGGGCAGGGGTTGTAATTTACCCCTGGGCAAGTGTCTGGGCGCCTTACACTGGGCACACACTGAGCAGGAGGAGACATAAATCCTCACATCC